AAACGTGTTGCAAAGTCCGTGGCATGGGCAACATAGAAACGTGTTTCTGCAGCATCTTCTATCTCCAGCAGGTCTACGTGAACCTGATCTGAAATGTCCTTTGGAGTCAGCAGTGATGCTGGTCTCCTGACTTTCGGAGGTGCACGTTCTTGGCAAAGAGAGCACTTGTGAGCTTTGGCAGCAGCTATAGCTTCCACAGGAGCACCTGCAACTGCAAGAGCTCGCGCCAAGCGACGATTGCTTCTGTGGCCAGTATTCTCATGTAGGCGCTTGATGGCATTCTTCAAGGAAGGACTGATCTTGAGGTCAGTCTGAGGGGAATCGCCAACTTCTTCATCAGAAATCTCTTCAGCGCCCAAAGCAAGTAGGCCATCACCAAAGTCCTCCTCCGCTTCTCCCGTCTGAGCTGCCAGGGCCTCCTTAGGCCGGAAGTCCAAATCGAACTGCTCCATGATCCCCTTCACCAAGGCGCGTGCCAGCGGCTTCGGGTAGATGCCCGCATGAGCTGTAATCTTGGAGCCTCCCAGGACAGGTTGATGGCTGTGGTCACGCTTGCAACGAAGGCCATCCAACAAAGCAATCACCCTGGGGCTTGAACTCACCAGCTGTGTGGATTTTCTATGCAACTCGCCTGAAAGACTGCGAAGGTTGAACCGGCATTGATCAAACACTGCTATCTCCACATTGTGCTCCTCGATGAACTTCTGCATGGGGAGTGTCTTCCATGCTAAACTCGGGAGCGGGTTCTCCATGATGAAGTGTCGACCACCTTTCATCTGTAGCTTTGCGACTTCAATCGCAAACTCCATCAGGACCAAACCGTCCGCTTGACGTTGATCCAAGGAAGTCAATCCTCGAGTGTTGAGGTACTGTAGTGGACTGAAAGGCCCACATGGAAAAGCAAGCACCACGCAGTAAGGCTTCTCCTCCTCCAAAACCTTCATTGCCCGGCTTCGGTGCTCAGCCAAAAGGAAGTTCCATCCATTGTCCAACGACATAGCCGGACCCACCTTGTGGCCTCTTCGTTCAGCCTCTCGCATGACATTCTGCGAAGTGGTGTAGACCTCAGACACAAGGGACCGCTCCTTGTCAGGGGGGCTTGACATTCTTGGAAATCAAGACATTCTTGGGCTGGCTCTCATTCTGAAGGGCCTCAAAACCGGCAAGAACCTTGTCATCCGGAAGACACAATTCAAACGGTTGGAAGAAGGTCTCTTCGGTCATGAAGTCCAACATCTCCTGTTCATGGTCAGCCACCAGCAACTCTTTCATCTGCCTTGGAGATTGTGACACTTTCTTTCGATCTTGTTCATGCTGACTCCAGGCTTGAGCGACCAGTTGAGCTTGACCAGGTTTCAGATCTTGGTGAAGTCTGAATTCATGAGGGCGACTCACATCCCTGCTCCATCCCTGAGACCCAGACGGATCTCCTGCATCACTTCGGCCGGAATGTCGTCCCCGAACTGAGCGGTCAAATTGGCTCCGTACAGCTCCTCGTAGGCCTGACCATTCAATTCCCGAATCTCGGCCTCGGTGAAGTTCACGGGTGAGGCATCCTGTGGCGAGTCTGGGATCAGACTTGGCTCTGAGCTGAGATCCACCTCCATTTCCGGAGTCACTTGTGAGCGCAGCAATGCCAGCTCGCGAGACATCTGCTCCATCATAGCCCTCATCTCTTGCTGCTGAACTGCCAGGTTCTTGGGGTTGTCGTTGAACAGCCTGGCGGGCGGTGAAGAAGAGCTCGCTGAAATCTCTTCGGCCGTGTTGGCCTTTGCTGGGCTTATCGCTGGCTTCTTGTTCTTGAGGATCTCGATCATAGGCTTCACCTTTTCCTTGATCTGAGCCACGGAGCCTTTCTCGCCCAGATCCACATGAAGCAAAGCAGCCAACTTCACCAGATCTGCTCGGAGGGTAGGAAGACCTCCTCGTGAGCCAATGAGTGCCCGAGCCTCTTGTTCTCGACTTCCGTCTGCTTCTGCTTTCTTGGCCAGCTCTTTGGCTTCCTTCTGAGCAGCACTCCTCAGTTTGGCTGTGATGCCCTTGGTCGTCTGCGCTGCCATCATTCCTGCCAGGACGGGATCTTCGATGAACGATGTCCTGAGCCCCACCCGGTTGCGAAGGTGCCGACATTCTGCCAAATTGCTCATGGTGAACAGGTTCTTCTCCAGGCAGTTCTTGAGGTACCTCGGAGGGATGGTTCCATCTGAAACCTGCTTGCGCACCTGAGCCAACCAAGCTGCTGTCGTGGTAGTCGAGGGATAGGGCAATGGCAGATATCGCAAGTAGGGCCTTTGCAAAAGCCAAAGGAGCAATCCTTTTGCTGCCCAGCGAAACCTTTCTCCCATGCGGAGGAACATCCGCTTCCATCTTCCGACCTTCACGTCCATGTTGGCGCTCTCGCCTCCCAAGAGGTTGCCTGCAGTCATCCATCCGCCGAACATTGGAGGGTGAAGTGGTCAAGGAAGAGGAACTCGAATTTCGATCGGTCGTCCCTTCCGGCTTCATGGACGCACCTTGAGCTTGAACCGATGAGCCAAAAACATCAGGTGAGCGAAGAACTGCGCAAACCAAATGGCCCACACGAACGCTCTGCTCTGTCAGGAGGTGGTCATGTGAACTGCTCTTCAAAGATGAACCAAAAGACAGTTTCTTTTGAAGCCATTGAACAGGACTCAACTGCAGTTCCAAAACACCATCAACTCCCAAACGCTTCCAACGCTGTGGCCCCACACCTGACCAGGTTGCTGGCACCAATGGCAGGAGGAAATGACCTGCAGCCAGCTGCTTCAAGGAAATCGGCTTGCCCGTGAGGTGTTCACATCGAAGGGTGCGATGGGCAAAATGCATGTCAGCTCCAATTGCTTCTAGAAAATCACGACCTAAAAGCAACCCCAGTGAAGGAACCGGCACCAATGAAGTCCAAAAACAAATGATGGAGCCATCTAACTGCATGGGGAGCCGCCACCGTGCAACACTGACTTGGGTTCCACCGTTGCCAAACTTGAAGGTCTCATACTCCTTGTGGGATTTGACCAAACCACGAACTTCTTCGGGGGCGTCTCTCAGGCAACGGAGGTAGTTGTTGAGCCACTCCGTCCCAGTGCACGTGCGGTTGCAAGCTGAATCAAGGGCTCCAACAAGCATTTTGTCGGCAGAGAGCTTGCCAGCAACATTCACCTCTTGTGGATGGAGGTGAGACTGTTCAAAAGCTGCCACGAACTCATTCGTCATGGGGAAGGCTCCAACTGCCAAAACTTCATGGCCTCCATCCTCCATCACAGGCGGAGACACTTCGGTGTTCAAGGCCTCCGTGACCTTCACTTGCTTGACCTGCTTGTTCTTTCGACCAAGGCCTTGTCCAGGCTTTGTGCACTCAGGATCACCGGCCCAGTGGCCTGGCAAGTTGCAATCGAAGCAAGGATGCTTCGAAGACTGCTTCTTGGGGTTCATCTTGCCCTTTTGGTCAGCAGGCGAGGCACGGCCATAGCCACGATCCTTCTTCACTTCTTGGAGCTTGACCTTGGCCTCACGCATCGTGAGAAGAGCTTCTGCAGCAGTTTCAACTGACTCCTCAATCTGCTGCAAAGTGTCGCTGTCAAGGCCACATTCGGCTGCTTCCTCAAGGTCCTGCGCCAAGCCTTCAGCCTCCATCTGAAGCACCTCATCCAAAGTCGCCTGAGGTGGATCTCCACCGTCGGCCACAAGCTCATCTTCTTCCTCAGGGTCGATCTCGACCTCAGCTTCGGAAACCATAGCCTGCTTGGGGAGGCCACCAAAAGGTTTCTGGAACCTGTACGTGCTGGCTCTTGAAGTCGTGGTCGATGAAGAGGATCGCATGGATCTAGGTGCAGAGCTTGTCATCGATGGGGCGTAGGATGAAGCTCGGCTCGGACTTCCTTGTCCTTGTTGATGCTGGTTCAAAAAGCGCTTCAACAACGGGGGTCCACTTTCTCCTCCTCCGAAGGGCTTGCGGCTGAGAGGATCTTGAGCATGAAGGTCTTTGAACAATCGCAGCACCTCTCGTTCAATGCTCTCGTAATCCTCAACTCCATTCAAAGCCGTCTCGAGGAGCTGAGTCCGCAAGGCGTCCAATCCAAGCTTGGACTTGTAGAACCACCCAAGCTCTCCAGAAGGCAGCTGCACACCTTCGGTGCGGAGATCGGACACGAGTGTCCGGAAGCGCGTGCTGAACTCTGCTATGCGCTCTCCTGGTCGTCGGCGAAGCTCCAAGTGGAACTGGTTTCTCAGCTCTCCTCTCTTATCCAAGGTGGTCTTGCCATTGATCTCCTCGAGAGCCTTCATGAGCTTCTGAATGCCGGCCAGGGGATTGGCCGCAGTGATCACCACCTGCTCCTTCGTCTCGGGGTCTTCAGCTGTAACCGCTGGTTGGTGCTCAAGCTGCTGGGGTGTAAATTCTTCTCCTCTTTGACGTACCACCCCCGATTGCCGTAGCAACCATCGAGCTGCCAAGTTGTACTTGGTCGTAGAGGCCAAATCTAAGGCCGAGCACCACCAATCCATCTCCCGCTTGAATCCTCGCCATGTCTGAGGCGATCCGTCCCATGTTGGGACGCGAGCCCATGCGCCGCCATTCCCATCCTTCTCGTCCGACATGATGCCTTAGGCAAAGACAGGGACGAAATGGAGGTCAAGGATGTAGTGAGACTTCTTTCAAACACGGAGCGGCAAAAAGGTGAATTCGGACCACCAGCCGTGAAGGTTCCTCCTGCGCCTGCGGGAGTACAACAAAAAGCGGGGTCCAGGCAAGGTCACAACCTCGTCCACGGAGATCGATGTCAGGACACGGAAGCAAAATGCCCGACACAAACTCAGCGAAGAGCGTGGCCAAGAGGCTATGCAAAACCACGGAGTGCAAGCGCAGCAAGCAAGGGCGCGTGCCCAGCGAAAGCAGCTCACCAACCACCAAAGGTCGTAGATCGCCAGCTCCGGTGCCACTGTAGCAGACCGTCGCACAACAGGTCTGCAAAGCAAAGCGGTTTTCCGGCGAAGGCTAGTCGCGTAGTCTAAATGGCTTTAGGCCTTTGAGAGAAAAGTGACCGGCGAAAATGAAGTCACTCTCAAGGCTCAAACGGATTCCATGTCAAATGCT